GGCTTATGTGCTACCTAAAAAACAAATACCCAGAATGAAAAGCCCTACAAGGTAAAGTTTTGCCTTCCCTAAGCCTACAAATAGAAAATAGCTTTCCTTTGAATTTAATGATTTAAAATTATGAAGATTTTTGACTTGCATTAAATTTTCAGACTACCTGTTAAATTACTTGTAAAGAACAATTAGATTGTCTGAATATTTTTTGGTTTTATGATTAAAACTATATTGAGCTTCCTTGTTAAAAAAAAAGAATAGAACAAAATTCATTAAATATTATACATCATTTGTAAAAACTCCTTAAAAACATAGCTATTTCCACCAGATTTTTCCACTTAGCATGTTGGAATGACTCTGGGTAAAATAAACTGAAAGGACTGCAATATAAATTTTCAAAATTAAGTATGGATTCCCGTCAAATGGTAATGAAAAGTTGCTAGTTTTTATTCCCTATGCGATTTTTAAAAAAGTGTTAAGTGTAAATATTAACTAACATCTGTGTGTGTATAAATTTTTGTGAATAAATTAAGTTAGAAGAAATATATTAAGTTACAGAGTGAAATCTTAATATTTAAAACAGGCAACGCTGGCTTAGCATAGTATCATGTTAACAGGAAACTTGAGTATATCAAACCATGTCATTATTCTTCTTAGACCATGGCAACTGAGAAGACTCCCTGTATGCTACTGTCACCTTGTATACATTTATTGCATAAATATTTTTAAAACAGGAATCCCTTCTTCACAGTCTATTATCCCAAAGTCAAAGTTAGTGGTAAGATAGTATATATACTTATTCATCGCTAGATTCAAACCTCATCACAAATTCTCATGAAGCATAATGAAAAATTATTTGACACTTTAAAGAATAAATATCACATTTACAACAATGCTGTATGGAAGAGACAAACCACAAAGCTTATCTTGAACACAGTTTACAAAAGACATTTGTATGCTAAAGAACTAAATTTATTTTGTCTTCTGACTCACCATTTATAGACATTTTAGGCCTTAGGCAAAAATATAAGCTAAACATTGTATCATCTATTGTGTCATCTTCTCTTTGTAAATTTTAAGAAAATTTGGGCTGTTTTAGGCAAAGAAATTAATATTTTCTCTTAATATTAACAGCTGAGAAATGTCCTTACAATATATTCTGTATATAGAATATATCTAAACCTAAGGCATGGGATGGAGAGATATTTTTTTTTCCAAGCATTTCAAACATTTTTCAAACATTCATTGAGTAGAAAACAATACAGTAAAAGTCCATGTATACATAATTTATCCTAAAACACAAGACGTTATGAATTCAATCAAAGCCTGTAGTACACCTCTGTACCTCCTACCTCCAGAGGGAATCCGTACGTGAACCTGCTATTTATCAGTACATAATTTCTTTTTTACAATATTAGGCTGCAGCCTTTTATAGACACTTTTGTAAAGATTAGAGTAATTCTTTCCTATATCTGGCTGTTAATTTTTATCTTGAAAGTCTGTTTTGGATTTTATTACTTTTTCTGCATCAATTGACATTGCTCTATATTTAGAGTATAAAGTTTTAAATCACAACTCCATATGATTTCTATAAATGATGAAAAGAAGTCTTTAAGAAATAAACAATTGAATATAAAAAATCCTTCTGACATTTCATACAATGAATATAAAATTGTGTATGACATTAAAAGTAGCCCTTGTGGTCACTAAAAACACTGTCTGGTTTTACTAGTAAACTCATTTCTTTCCTCTCTGGTTTATATGTAAAATCATTCTTAAATTAAAAAGTATTGTCAAGAGTTAAATGCACTAGATTTTAATGTTCAGTAAAAAATACAAAATGGTTTTCTGTTAAGTGTTTTGACACATATGCACTTATTTGGTTTTTCAGAATATAGATTAGCAAAAGGGTTATGTGAATATGCAAAATTATGATGTGGACACAAATGATTATTAACCTTCAATGCTTTTTAATTTATATCCCCCAAACATTGAAATTATTGTAAGGAGGATAAAAATCTCCCTGCAATCAAGTTTTCTCACCTTAGCATAAACATTATCAATTTGCTTTTAGACAAGTTTTTTCAAACTGTAGTATTAAGTGATAGATCTCACATGAGACACACACACAAAATATGTGTGTGTCAATTCTAAATAAATCTTGGAACATAAAATGCATCTGTGATGAGTAAAGTTGATCAAAAACAAAATAAAACACAATATATTTTGTACACAACAAGTAATCATCATCAAAAAAAACTTTTAAGTAAACTTCATTATTTTCACAAAAAGTCATTCTTTGAATTTACTCTTTCACTCTGTGTTTCCTTCTTTGTCTTGATTTTCTTAGTTTTTCATCATAAGCCATGGTCTTTTGTGATCTGAATATAACGTCTAGAAAAGTTGTTTACATCTAATTTAGGTTTTATTCTGCCTTGAATGAAAATGATCATAGTAGATATAAAGGAAATTTCAATGATTTAACTTCATGCCATAAGTATTTTGTTTTCTTGTTTGAATGCTATGATGAAGAGGTGATATTCTCTAAGCTATCTGCTTCTGCCTCCCAAAACTTAGTGTGTTACTGTCCTCTATGGTCAGAGGCAAGGGCAATTTCCTACTTCAGAATGAGGCCTGGATCTCCTAGTCTGGATTTAGCACCCTTCTTGAATTAGCGCTAGCCTTCCATCTTTATCTGCAACACTTCTCTGCTGATTCCTTCAGTATGAGCTCACTGTTCTGGCCTATTCACAGATCAGCACAGGAAGGTCAAGCAGACACCAGGCTACACCTTCTAAAACTTAATTTAGCCCACAGGACATGGTTTCTAATCTAACTGCACATTTAGACAGCCATATTTGTTTTTGATTGTTTCCCATACTTAACCATGGTCTTTAACCATTCTTTTTAAAACTGGGGGCCAGGAGTAGAACTCAGTGGTAAGCACATGTTTAGTATATATGAGGCCCTGGGTTCAATCCCCAGCAAACACACACACACACACACACGTGAATATTCTTACAGTTCTAAAAACTAAATATGAATTAGGAAATATTTTTGATCTGTAGACCAAAACTGTATTTGGAAATTATATTTGATTTTATGATCACTCTACTCGCATGACATGTACCCATATATAACTTTTTCAACATTCTTGGGTGTTTTAAAATTAAAAGAATGTGTTCTAAGCCTTGAGTGTTAACATGGTTTCAACATATTTCAAAGGCCAGTTCCAACAAACACAGAACTCCTGAGGACCACTTGCTGCTAAATTTGAAACCAACCAAATTTCTTAGGTTTGCGAAATTGAATGAAAGAAGTACCACTGAGCTGAATGCCTGTCAAGAGCAAGGGCTCCACGAGAATTAAACCAATTCACAGTTGTACTTGGACCAGCACATTCAGAGGGTCAAAGAAACCAAAATGGAAAGCTTTAAAAACACATGCTGTTCATGTGTTTTTCTATTAAGCCAAATTCCATCTCTGTTTTTAAAATTCAAGTCCAAATGTATCTTTAGAACCAGCAATGAAAGTTTCTGTTCTATCCTTTCTCATACTAAGTTGGCTTTTCATAAGAGAGTCCATTTAAAAATTTAAACTGTGTCGAGTTACTAACATGATTCTTTTTCTGTACTGACGGGTCATTTCAACCATCTGGTTATAGCCTCTGTTTCACTGTACCATGGGCAACTTTATGCCTTTTCCTGTAAGCCCTGCTGCTCTTTTGCTTGTTTATTTTATTTCAGTGAAGTAAAGAAAGTTAAAAGTAGTTACAATTTGCAAATGTCTCATTCAAAGTTAAAGTGAGTGCCTGGGTTTGGTTGCTAATACCAAGCTTCAATAAAAGTAACCAGAGCTCTTGGAAGAAATAACTTATTTTAGGATCAGGCAGAAAACATACAAAATGAGTTGGGAGCATCCTGTAGTGCCAGGAAAAAAAGTCTCAGAATGATGGGAGTGTGTCAAAGGGACATTAGAGTCAACTGAAAGCGCTACCCATGGCCAAATCTGAAATAATGTGAGAAAAAAAAATCATTCAAATAGCATTGGATTATCACCCTAATATAATATTCATGTATTTATGGTGACGTGAATAAATGATTAAATTTGAATAAATGGAGAATATAGAAATCTCTCTTGCAGAAGAATTGCAAATAATTTATGTAGATATTCTTTACTAAAGGCAAAATAGATCAACTCCCTGCTTTTTATGTATGGACCCTACAGAACAGTTTTTTCCTCCTGAAGGGTTCAGTATGGAAAGGGGAGAAAGATCACCTTTATAGTAGAGAAACCTGCCAAATACTACCTCAGCCAGGTGATTGAAGATATCAACACTGCTATGACATCTTGACATTTATGTCCCCTTGATACGATGCAATGAAAGTGTTACTATATCTCTGTGGTCTTCCTTCCCCAAGCCTATAACCCTAGTCTAGAGATGAGAAAAACATTTGATGAGTCTCAGTAAAAGGACATTCTACAAAATACCTGACCAATGTTCCCTAGTACTGTCAAGGTCACCAAAAATAAGGCAGGGAAACTGTCAGAGCCAAGGGGAGCCTAAGACAACTTGATGATTAAATATAACATGATATTCTGGACAGGATCCTGAAACAGAAGGAGGACATTAGGTAAAAACCAAGGATAAACTACAGATAAAGTATGAACTTGAGTTACAATAATGTGTCAGAATCAGTTAACTGTATTAATTATAATAGAGGTACCATAGTAATGTAAATGTTAATAATGAGGGAAGTGGGGGGCACATGAGAACTCTTGTCATATTCTCACTTTTTTTAAGTTTAAAATTGTTCTAAAATAAAAATTTGGTTAAAAAAGTTAAAATGGATATCTTATTTTAATCTAAAATGCCACCCTGGTGTTCAGCTGATTTGTATTCTGGAGTGAATTATTCAACACACAGGCAAATATTCTCTTAACTCAGGGAGCTGCAGAGTCACTGTGCTATGTATGTGAATCTTGCAACTCAGAGAGTTAGCTACCTGGGAAGATTTTCTTCTTCAGCAACTTTAAAAGGTGGCGTTGACAGTGAAGATCTTCGTTTCTCCTGGCAAGAAGAAGTGAAAGAGAAGTGAAAATGACAGAAAAGAGAGAGGTTCCTATGAGCAAGAAAAAAATAGAGTTGGACCAAGAGGCTCAGGGAGGCTCTCTACCAAGTGCAGAGGAAAGAGTAGTCCCCTCCCTTCTCTACTCTCTGCTCTATGCTAATTCTGGCTGGTTGCTCAAGTGGGCTGTACCTTCCTATGGGTACAGGAGTGATTTAGAGGTCATTAGGGTCTCTTACTCTGTGATTCTCAGGATAAAATCTGGGAATGAGAGTGGCAGTCTGCATTTGAGAGGTCATCCTGGAAAGATGAGAGAAGAGGCCACAAGATATTGTGGTGTATTGGCACTGTCATCATTAAGGTATACCTCAAGTACTGCTTCACATTTCCCAGGAAAACATATTATCCAAACAGGTAAAATTCTGATGACTCTTCTAAAGATGATTGTCTTATCTGTGTCAGGTAAATAATTTCCTCTGACCTGTCTGGGGAGGGATTCTATTTGGTGTCCTCATGTCCATATCAGAACTATACTAATATTTTTGCACAAAACCAATGTGTTTTATACATTAATTGAGGCTACAGTAATGTATTCTGGAGGATAATTATTACAAGAATCCCATTTTCTTTTCCTGACACTAAACACAAAAAAATTTTAAAGTCACTGAATTCTCTACTCATAAATGACAAACAAGGTCATTTGTGAAATAAGTTCTTTTCTTTAAGATTTAAAGAATATTTGCATGTGCACAAGTTTGGCATTTCCCTTATGTTATGGATGATGAATATTTAAATAAATTAAATTCTTATACCTTGATGTGTTTAGATAGACCCTCCTTTTTTGAATGATTCTGGATTTTTTTTTCCCCTCCAGAACTTCTATTTGAGCCTTTTCCTTTCCTCTGCTCATTAGACTACTTCAGATATATTCAAATGAGATCTACTAACAAATGTTGTACCAGGAACCCCAAGTCCGGTTATTAATGGCTTTCAAGTGTTTACCTAATATGGGATCAACTACAATCATTCTGCAAGTCATTTGCAAAAATGTAAGCAGTATCTTTAGTAAAAGTATATTTTGTTAGCAGAGGGTGGTGGTGCACACCTGTAATCCCAGTGACTGGAGAGGTTGCAGCAGGGGGATCTCAAATTCTAGGCTGATCAGGGCAATTTATTGAGACTCTTTCTCAAAAAAAAAAAATGCTGGGGATGCAGGTCACAGATAGAGTCCTGGTTTCAAACCCCAGTACATTTTGTGACTATAAAAATTGCAAAATGAAATTTGATGGCAATTTAATTTTTCCATGAATTTATAAGTGTCACTCAATTTAGTACAACTAAATCTTTAATGAGGTCACCAACTCATTTTCACCAAAGTTCTTCAACTGAGTTCACACATCTTCTAACTCATAAAATGACAAGTCAAATCCTCATTTCCTGGGTGGCTTTTCATCTTATGATGGCCATCGACCCATGAGGATCTTTCTGAGACTGACTCATGTGACTTCATCTACAACTATTTAGTTCTTCCAAATGGTCCTATTTTTATTGGAGATTATTTACTATGTCTGGAATCCCAATGCTTGATGTCTTTAATGAGAAAACATAATACAAAAAAAAATTTCAGTGTTCAGCCAACACAAATTTATGTGATCAGCAAAAGAATGTTTTCAGATCCTCGGCTTGATTGTTTTTGTTTCTGATGTGACAGATTTGCTGAACAAAGTTACAAATCCTTTCTTTCTCTCCACTCTTCATTACCCCCACCCAACACGCGCACGCACACACACACACGTACACTCACAACAAGGTCCCATTTGACTGCTAACCCAGTTCTAGGTTGCCAAGCTTTCCTGAGGGAAACTGACTCACACTAAGTACTCCTTTTTTTCTTGGTATACTTTAAGTTACAAGTAATATTACTGAAGTTTTCAAAGCTTACAATGTTCCCTAGGAGTATCACAGTTGAGCAGGTGAAAAAAAATATCTGGAAGTTTATTATTTTTCCACCAATATATTTGACACCACCTTTGGAGAGTGAACAAAAGGCATACTGTCAAGCGGATGGAACTGGACAAAATGTTACTGTTTGTTCCTCACGAGCACAGAGGTATATTTAAGCAAAGAAAGACATTCCATGCCTCTCCTGGGACTTCCTTCCTTCTGCTAAATTATACCAACATGTTCACACCACTGTGGTTCAGACTGTGCTGGAATTCAAACTGCAGACTCCTATTTGCCAATGCTTAAATACCACAAGCTATAAAAGTTCATATTAGAATTGAATTGGCTTTAAAATATCAGAGAACACATAGGGGAAAAAATGTGTATACACAGGAAATTACAGTAGAAGATATGGAAATAAGGAATGTCCTTGTTGGACAGATTCTATACTTCTACAACAAAGCCTCAAAGTCTCCAGAAGTCACCTGGCTTTGGATCATGTTTCAGATCCAGGCTCACTGACATTCATGAAACTTTTGGCAAACCAGGGCCAAGTTTCGAGCAAGGCTTGGTAAAATACCTCTTTCATGTGGAACCTGTGTGTGAGGCTCAGTGGTTTTGGCTAGCTTTCACCTCGAGTTTCACATTCAAACAATCCGAAGTTTCAAAGTCAAATCAAGGGGTAAAAAGAAATGGGGAGAAATGGGGAGCAACAAAATAGAGCAAGTAAATGGCTTGACTGGGAATGGGATGTCCATCTACCATCTTGTGAAAGGTTTTACTCTGAAGCCCTTCCGTTTTGCAACTGAACTTGTACTGTAGCAAATCTGCACACAGTACCGCTGGACCAAGCCTCCTCAGTACTAAAGGGGAAGAGTATTCTTAACCCCTCAAAAACCCCAGGGAAGCAGTAGAGCACCATGCTCAAAATAATTGGGGAATTTAAAATACTGACTATAAAGAAATGTGATGATTGATATGCTCCTTCTAATGAAGTGGGTTTGGGAAATTTAAAAAATTCTGAGCATCTTTAGAATTTTCTACCATGTGAATTTAAATTCCATGGATCATAATGCTTTTTCTCCTAAGGGTGGTGGGCAGGATTGCTCCCATAGCAGACTCCATAGCTCCACCCCTTTGAAGTCTGGTCCTGTAGCCACTTGCTTTCTTCCTTTCTTAGCAAGGTGCAGGGTACAGCTTGCAGACTGTGTCACCTCTGTGGAGCCACAGTATGGGACTTAGTCTCCTGACAGGATTAGACTCATTTGGTCTCTAGCCTCCAACAAAATATGCAGGGACATTTTGGCCAGGAAATGTCAAACTCAGTGTGAGGCTGAAAACTTTAAAAATGCCCTGTGCTTGGATAGGAAAGCAAAGGCTAACAGTCAAGTATAGTAGTACACATGAGCTTTCTTTAAAATAATGAGAATATTTAAGAGATGTTTGAATGGAATAGTAAGTGCTACATTTTGCCCATTTTGAGGGGAATTATCTATCTTCCTATCTGTATCTATATCTATCTATCTATCTATCTATCTCATATATGTCTTATCCCTCACACAGCAAAAGACTTTTCTGGCTGCAAAAGTTTTTTTTTGTTGTTTATTTTTTTCCTCTTTTTATTTTTCTTGTTCTTCCTTTTCTTTGTTGTTATTCAGACAATCATTATGTATTTAAGTGCATGTTTTCTTTTCAAATGTGGTCTGTGATACCAATAAACTTCTTTGGGAAAAAAAAAATCTCTGAACTCCAAGAACTTCAGTGCTCATTTTTAAAAAAGCAACAGTTAGGCCCGAAGGCACATGGTAATTCTGAGGACTTGGGTTCCATGTGCTGTCATCTGCAACTTGTTTTTTGACATCTGCCTGGAGGGGTGCAGCAAGTTGCCATAAAGTCTATGTAGTGAGAGAACTTTGCAGAAAACTCTTTCCTTTGAGTTGACACTTTTTATAGAAATAAAATCTAAGGCATAGCAGTGATTAGACGTAGCCAGTAGATTATTTGAATGAAATATTATCAAAGCATTAAATAAACAAACAGAAAAGTCTGTGGGGGTGCTTTTTTACCGAACATAATAAAAACAATAAAAGTAAACGCTACGTTTGAAGTTAAAGTCCACAGATCAAAGTACTCTGTAAAATGTCAAGTGCAAGCATAAGAGGGGGGAGAAGGGAAGCCAGAAAAACTATCTAAAATATTTCATTGTCACATTAGAGAAAATCCCAGCAAATGTACCTACCAAACAGCTTCAGTAAGATTCAGCTTAGGTAAGGAATCCCAAAACTAAATCACTTAAATTATACCAGAAGTATACAAAACAAAACAACAACAACAACAAAAAATCCCTCTTCCAAACCCCACTGTTTAATTCTGCACTAGCAATGAACAGCACCAAGATGAAAAAACATAACATACCTACCTCCTTGTCCTTAAAGAACAATTACTAACATATTTTCTTTATTCAGGTGGTTGCATTTTTTTTTCTTTTTTGAAAGTGCCTTTAGAAGGTTAAAAATAAGAAAGCAGTCTAAACAACAAAATTACGATGTCTGAGAGGTCTTCTCACTGCCATGGCAGCCAGTCTTAATTAGAGTTCTGACGCAGTGCTCAGCTACTGTATGGCAGGCCAGTATCATGGACAGCTTCGGGCAAAGTTTAAAATTACAGCCACAAAAACGCACCAATGCTATTGCTGTAACCTGGAACACAGTGTTTACCTGGGAATCGTTCACGGCCTCCCTTTATTTTCACTATAAATAAGTTATTTTAAAAACATTACTCAAGAACATATCTGAGAACAAATAATGTCAGAATAAAAATCTTACCTACGGTCAGCTGGGTTTCACAGTTGCTCTAAACAGAGGAAGTAGGAGGCAGTGGCCTTGTACATGTAGAGGTTGTTTATTTAGCCCTTTTTAAAAGGTCTTGAACTCCCGAGGTTTAAGATTAAGTCCAATCCAAGTGTCTGCAGGGAAAAATGGGCAGAAGAGAAGGCAAATAAGAGAGGCAAAGAATCCCAGCTGCTGGGTGGTGCTACTGTTCTGAGAGCATTTGAGCTATTTTCAGCATTAACAGCAGCCGGAGTTGTCTGCAAAGTGATGGAAATGCTTTCCCCGAATCCAGTCGCCACCCCCCACCCCGGGGGGGAGGGAAAAAAAACACAAACCAGGAAACCCACAACAACTCGGTTCATTGTGCAAATATTCATTTAAATTTTGAGGAAAATTGCCAGCACTATTGAAAACGCACACAAAAACTTGAATTGGAAATCTTAAAGAACCACAGTGCCTCTCCATAACCCTCAAATTTTCAAAATGATGTACCTGATCTGTTGAAAATAAGATGTTTGGGCTTATTGAGAAGTAAGACTTTTCTTCTGATATCTACTTGCTTACGTATGTGGGTCTCCGAACACTACGTCACGTAGGAATATCTGTTGTCAGCCTGTCCTGAAGGCTGGAGACAAATGGTTTCTTTCCAGCACGCACCTAAATTTCCAGTTTCATCAACTATGCTATTTTTGAAAGCTACTGGGTTAAGCTGTTGACATTTCTTATCTGTTGGCAGGGACTGGGGACCATTCAGTGACATGATGCAGACGGATGTCGATCCCCTGCTTCTGCCCCATAGGCCAATGAAGAAATCATTCAGATTGGGTCATTGGTGATGACTGGCAAACTTTAAACTTTCATTTTGTTTCTAGAATTAACGGCTAAGATCCAGAAGCTGCATTCATTCATTCATCAAACACTCATGCACTAAGCACTTTGGAGCCCACTGTATGCCAGGCAATTCTGAGAATACCACGGTGGACAGAATAAGTAGTATCATGGGCAAGACTTCAGAGGCTTACAGCATACAACTAGGCAAGAATTAATAAACACAGAAGTTGTTATATTTTTCAGCCCCCTTTTCACCAGATGAGTCTATTCAAATCACAGCAGCTTAAGACTGAGATTTCTTTCCACCAAGACTAAAGGAAGGGATATGCATTGTCATTGCTTCATTGTGCCCTTTACTACTCCACTAAGAAGGAAAAGCGGCTACCCCACCAAGGGAACACATAAGAATTTTTGTAAAAGCCTTTACTTTATGTAGCTGAAATCCCTGAATCTTTTCCAATCCCTGCTTCCCATAACAAAGAGGATGCTTAAGCAGCCAGAAACCCTTGCCTTACTCAGCAGGTGCAAGAAGCGTCCCCAATCTTAACCCAGTAAATGTCATAATTAATTTTACGAGGATTGGTTACTTACTGATGCTCATATCAAATCCAGTTCTTCCCTTACCATCAAAGGCAGTGAGCTGATTATAGAAAATATTGACAACTATGCTGATGTGTAAGAACAGGAAAGCATGATTATTTCAAGTACTACGTTAAAATAGTGAAATCCTGCAGCTCATTACATTTTTTTTTTACTAAAACCAGGTGGATATTTCAGTTCAAGAAAGACCCACAACTTAAGTTTGAAATATCTAATTAGAATTTTAAAATAAAATTGACTTTGCTTAAAAATACACACCAGGTTTTTTTTGTTTGTTTTTTTAAATCACTGTAGGATAATGCATTTCTCTGTTTATTTATTTTAAACACTCACTTTACCATGTCTCAAATACTTATAGGTATGGATATTAATTTAGAATACTCATCTTACTTGTTGAATGGTAATTCTACTGGTAAAAATTGGAAGCCTAGCCTCAGGAAGACACATTTTTAAAAAAAAATTTGTGTATACTTTTTCCTCCTTATAATAGTTTATAACAAAAAGGAAAGTCCTTTGAAAATTGATCTTCCTTGAGATGGATGTGATGAGAGGGATGTGGATGAGAATACCACAGTGTGCAGAATAAGCAGTCTCATGGATAAGGCTTCAAATAAATATTAACTATTAGACACTAAGCCAATTATTATTTTAAATTCTGGACTGCTTGTTCTCCATGCCAATCCTAATGGAAGCCCATTGCCTCACTATGGCCTACGTAGTCACATTCTGTCAAAATCTTTCCCTGATGAACTGGTTGTGACCCTGCTAGCCACTTGTGCTTCTTGTTTAGGCAGACTTCTATCCTGCCCTGTGCCTCACTGACATCTCTTTTGTTCCATGAGAATCCTAACGGTTCAAACATCCAGTCCATAGCACCTTCCAACAGAAGAGTGCAACTTTGCTTTTAATCATATTTTAAAAGGTTATAGGATGTAAGTTCTAACTTTTCTTCTTATCCAACTGTTCTAACTTTTATCTTGCACAACATTGACATCTTAAGAATGATGATAATTATAGTAACGTTAATTATTTTGTTTATATTTTTCTTTCCTTCTCTCTTTTTTTAAATAGATAAATTCATTTAAAATAATTGTAAAAGGATTATGTTGGAGCGGGCTTTTTTATATTGGAGAAATAATAAAAAGGGCTTTGGTATACCCCCACTGTTGTATAAGATGGGGACAATAACAGCACTAATCCACTGAGCTGTGGCATGGCTTATATAAATTTTGCACACAAAATGCTTGAGAAATGCCTGAGATGTAGCAAGCATTTGGTAAAAGTCATGTTATTATCACTTAAGCCTGGAGCTTTGCTTTCCAATATGGCTGTAAATCGCTAATGAGTTCCTAAAATGTGGCTAGTCAGAACTGAAATGTTATATAGGTATAGAATGCACACTAGACTTTGAGACAATATAAAAATGTATATAAGTATATAATTGACATATCACATTAATTTTTATATGGATTACATGTTGAAGTGACAATATTTTGGACATATTGGGTTAAAAGAGACTATGTTAAGATAAATTTGATTGTTTTTCTTTTTAAATATGACTACTAGAACATTTAAACATTACATATTTGGCTCTCATTATATTTCTGCTGGATAGGCCCATCTAGATCAGTAGTTATCAAACTGTAGCATTAGTCACCTAGAAGGTTTGTAAACTCACAAGTTGCTCTGACCCACCTTCACAGTTTCTGATTAAGTAGGTTTTGGGGAGTGTCCTGAAATTTTGCATCTCTAACAAGTTCCCAGATAATTCTTGACCAAGTGGTCCATGGATTAAAGTTAATGTCATCACTTGAGGTCTTGTCAGAAAGGCAAAATCTCAGGCAACATCCAGACCTTCTGAACCACTATGTATGTTTAATAAAATACCAAGGCTCTATGCATGCATATTAAAAGCTGAGAAAAAATTGATATAAAGTAGTCTGTCTTCCTCGGGTGCAAAAAAAAAAAAAAAACTTATCTGAAAAATGCTAGTATGCTAGACCTGCTCCTAGAGTTTTATTTAATCAATCTGAAGGAGACGTAAGCATCTTATCTAAAATACTCTCAGGTGACCCCAATGTCTAAAGGGTCAAGAAACCAGTCACTCCTTCTAGTGAGGGGAAGATGTCCATGAACTGGGAACACATGACTCATGGAGATGGCAGAGAAGCAGGGAACCACACAGCAATGGACAAGGAATCAGTGGTAGGAGTTGGGCAGGAGACACTCCATGCTATTGCAGGTATGATGGAGGTCCCAGCTCCTTTATTTCTGGAATTCAAAGGAAGGCTGGATGAAGCAGAGCACCTCCTCAGTCTCAGAGGAACAAGAACACTAAGCAAATTATCTGGGCAGAGATGAAGGCTCTGGAGAAGATAAGAACCTACTTGTGAGAATCCTGGTGTAAGTCAAGAGTGGACCCAGGGGCCATGTGAGAGTGTTGCAAACTCTATATGTCAGGATTAGTTTCAGAGGATAGATCAGAAATAATCTTTTAGATGAAGAAGAGAGACAAAAAGGAATGAAAACATTGAAAGACAGTTTACTGTTCATTTCCTTCTCTCTTTCCCTAATGCACAATAAGAATGGAGACAATTCTAAGTATTGGTCTAATTAAAGCAATTTATACTAAGGTGTAGTTTACAGATCCCAAATCATCCTAGTGGGTATTTATACCCCAAGAGGGGATCTTGTTAACCCAAATAACTCTTCAATTAGAACTAGTGAGAAAGAGCCATATTTTGCAGGAGAGAGACCTTATTTTCCATGCAAAATAAGTGAGCACATCAGCTTTGAGTTGAATACCTCATCAGTTTCTCAAATGACTCCTCACTTTACACAGGTGGTCCCAGAACACTGTGTGTTGAGGAGCGCTTCATAAAATGAAATCTACACTGGAAGAGAAAATCTGGGTTCGTGCTCTTAATATTTAAAACATTCAGGGCTGGGGTTGTAGCTCAGTGGTAGAGCGCTTGCCTAGTATTTGTGAGGCACTGGGTTCGATCCTCAGCACCATTAAAAATAAATAAATAAATAAAATCTAAATAAAAATTTCAACTCTGGGCTGGGGTGTAGTGGTAGAGCGCATACCTAACATGCATGAGGCCCTGAGTTTAATATCTGGCACCAAAACCAAAACTAAGCTAAATAAAATCCCAAAGGCTAAACTAAAACCCGAAACAAACAACAATAACAGAAAAATGACCATCTATAACTTTATTTCTCACATTTTTGGTTGATTGTTTCAGAAAACTTTTAAAGAAGGATAATAGTTTAAAGCAGTGTGTATCCAGAGTGACTGAATCCTGGTCCTGTCATTTATGTGTGATCTTGGACCAATTATCCTCCCTGAGCCTCAGTTTTCTCCTCTGTAATAGGACCACCTTATTGGGTTGTTGTGATGATTAAAATTGTTATTTGGAAAGAACATTAAAAAAATCTGGCATGTTATAAGTGCTATATACACATTGGTTAAATAATCAAAATACCTTTGAGCAACTATAGTTATCTACATATAGTGGAACCTAGCAACTATTTTTAGATACCATGATGATTTCCAGGATCCTTTTGTGTGTGTGATTTCTTGAATTCACATATTTTGAGAGTTTCTCTGAGTTGTTTAAATTTTTTTTTCCCAAGAGAACTCAAAATTCTCAATTGATTCCTCATCACTTCCTATTATTTGAGAGGACCTCAGTAGGAA